CCCCCCCCACCGGCCCACCTCTGCAGTCCCATCAGGCTCCTCCCAGGTTAGTTCCACCGGTGTCTGCAAGGCGTCATGTTCGACACAACACAGGAAGTGCCCTATGTCCCAGGGGTCGAGTCTGACACTGAGCCAGGCGTGGAAAGTCCCATCTGAGTTCGGGGCCAGGACGCCCCGGAAGGCGTCCTGCAGCCAGACCTCCCCGTCCCTGGTCCAGGCCATGTCGATCTCTCGGGGGTAGAAGCCGTGGGCCCGGCAGGTGAGGGTCTCCGTATCGTCCTGGCCTGCCCTTCTGGTCACCGTCACCTCTGGGGGCTCTGCAGAAAGAGCACCCCTTGGATGAACGCAGAACCTCTCCAGTGCCTGGCAGGGGGCCGGCCTCTCCTGGGCGCCATGGAGACTCCCTCAAGTGGCCATCTCGTCTGGATCAAAAGTTTCAACCACTTAGGCTTGGTGAACTTAAAAAATACCCGACTCCCTTGAGGCAAATGACGCAAGGTCTTGGGAATCATCCTGGTTCGGATCACTCTGTTGCCAATAGCCGCACCCCAAAACACCCCAACAGTAATTGGCCAGAGGAAGGCCCCAAGGCGGAGGCCACATAGGAAAAACACCACAGTTATACTGTCCCAGAAGGGAGGGGGATAAGAACAACATGAACTTTGTGTAATCCACAGCGAACACGGTAGCCTGACCTCGAATGCAGTAATCAACAGGGCAGTGGAAACTGGTTACAGCTGCCATGAAAGTTGCAAGTGTGCAGGGAGTCAGAATATGGGAAGCCTGTGTGAATCTCGAGCAGATAAGAAACAGACATGGGAAATGCCTGGTCCTTGACGGAAGGACTCTTTCTCCAGCACGGGAGATGCATGGATGTATCAGATGTGTATTGGGTGACCTAACTGGTTACCTAGGGTATAAAATGCATGTACTGGGGTGCAACTTTCGAGACACTGCTTTGGGCTGAATGTCCCCTTTTGTCTCCCTTTATTCTATAGTGCACCAGAATAGCCTCGTCTCAGGCCCCTTTCGACTCTGGTCTGGGGTCCACCCTGGTTTGCCCCAGCTGTTGACTGGCTGAGTTTGGTACCTTTGCAATTAAATTTCTTAAGTTGCTGTGCTGTTCAGCTCACTGCACCACTGAAAACGGAGGTTTGGACCTGCGGGACCAGAGGTGTGGGACGTGTCCCTGTGGGGCGCTCTGTCTGCTTGATTCCCCCCAGGAGGAGGCAGCAGGAGGCAGCGACACAAGCTGCTCTGGGGCCAAATCGGCTGAATCTTTGCCCCCATCTTGGGCGTGAAACTGGTGGCCGTGGGAAGAAACGGACAGGTAGAGAGTGGCCAGAGAAAGACGATGCAGCGGATGAATATCCATCAGGGTGGAAGTGAGGTTTCTGGGAGAGCAAGTCATGCTTTTCCTGAACAAGGAGAAAAAGACCACTTTTCACCCCAGTGGTGTTAAGAAAGGCCAGGGAGGCCGATATTACATGCTCCTTGACTGGAAGCTGCACCCTTCCAAAGGACTTTCATGCTGGCATGGAATTGCAAAAACTTGGGAATCAAAATGTCAGACTGCTGAAATACTTGCCATGTATAAATTAAGAAACTCCATTTGGGCAGCTAGACATGCACGTGGTGGGCAGGTCATGAGCGGAGCCGGCTGGAGCCGGGGGTCAGACTAGATGGCCCAGGAGGCCCCCTTCTTACTCACTCTGTTTCTATGTTTCCAACTGCCTGGAACCAAAAAAGCAGTGCCAAAACTAAGGAAAAACGGAGAGTAAACATTGGGAATCAGAGCAGTGCATGTCTTTTGCCAGTGCTCAGACTGGGAGGGGATTTCCAGGACCCAGAAGCAAGAGGCTGCCCCCAAGGACGGCTGCCCCAGACCCTTCCCTCTGGAGCCCCGAATCTCCGCTGAACGAAGGTGGGGGGCCCTGGTGGGGCACGTGACCCTCCCAGATGCACCGGCTTTCCGGCAATGGGCGCCTGCTTTCCTGCCCCCACACCGTCCGCACACGCCAAAATCGGGGGTTCCCTCCCCGAAATCAGGCGCTCGCCTTTCCGTCCGTGCCTTGGAAGCGCAGGCTGCGGGTCCTTTGTGACGTCACGGGCCAGCTCAGCCAATGGCGGGCCTGCAGCCGGCAACGGGCACCTGGCGGGAAAAGCGGCGGCCGGAGCAGGAGGAGCGATCCCGGGAAGCGCGGCGGGAAAGGCCGGGCGGGGGAGGCCGGAGCTGGAGGAGGCGGGACGCGGGGAAGCCCTGGCGAGCCGCGCCTCAGCCGCTCAGGGCGAAGGGCGCTGGGTTGGCTCCCGGGAGGGTCGAGGCGGCGGGTTCAGGGCCGCCCGGGGGATGCCAGCCTCCGAGGGCAGCAAAGGTGTTCTGGTCGGGGGTCCGGGAGGGGCCAGTCCGACGCCAAGAGAGTTAGGGCATTACAGGCCCCATTTGGCTCCCCGCAATTGCGCTGCATTGGTTTGTCTTTCAGTTTGTATTTACGTGTGATTTTGACACGTTTATGGAAACGGATGAGGGGCTTAAAAGTATTTAGCGGCGTGCGAATAGTGTAAATGAGCAAACGGGGGGCGTCAAGAGGTGGGTGGCGCGGCCCTCCTTGGCCCTCATCCAGCCAGTGCTCAGGCCGACGGAGGGGCCTCAGGCCGAGCAGGGAGGGGAGCCCGGAGCGGGCCCTCACCGGCGGCCCGCCAGTCCCGAGGCCCCGCCTCCTTGGGGGCAGGCAGGGGGCCTTTGTGACCTCACGGCGCGGCTCGGCCAATGGCAGGGGAGGGCTGGCTCCCTGGCAACGGCCACTCCAACGGAAAACCGGCGGCAGCGGCCGAGGCGAGCGCCCGGCACTGGCCCCGAGCAGGGCGAGGCGCCGCCAGGGCCCCTGGGAGGCTGGAGGCTGCGGCCGCTGTGAGGGGCCAGAGCTGCCCGAGGGGGGCCGAGCCGCGGTGGCAGCGGGGGTGCTCCGGGTCGGGGGTCTGAGAAGAGCCAGTCCGAAGCCAGGAGCGGTGGAGCGTTACAGGCCGGGGGGG